CAAAAAAGAGTACTGTCCCGTATAATACAGGACGGATGGTCACCGTAATTATAACCCTCATAAAGTAGAATTCTCTTTCTGTGTTGCGAAGAAAAAGCACTGAGCATCTTTTGCAGAGAACACCTTTCTGCGTAGGCGGCGTCGGCCGCACTTAGGGTTTATAAGCTTTTTTTATAATTATTTTACATTAATTCAATTTTTGTAAGACCTATACAACATATATATAAAGTACGTATACCAAATTAAAGGGAATACAATTTCCTATTAAATGAAATCAATCATTTTTAAAATCCATTCATTGGTTTTTGAGAAATCTTGATTTCAAAAATTGCTTATTTTGAAATTTAACCTTTGATAAGTCTTGTTGTTGTTGTTTACCCAAAAAAAGAAGTATACCGTTATACTCAGCTCAATCACCTCTATCGATTCCAATATCTGTTTTTTTAATTTGAGATTTGGAGCACAAGTGCATTTATGCCAAAAAAAAGTTAATTACAATGCCCGTTTTTATTGTTTCTAGTTTTCAGTGATTTTTTTGGGCATTTTTTGTTGAGTGGCAGCACCGACATTGTAGGGTGTGTTCAGAAATGCATCAAGCCAATGCATCAAACGCATTTATTTCTAAACTATTATTTATGGAAATGTGTTATTTACGCAACTAGGGTCCAATTAGGCATTTAACTGTGATGCGCATATTGGACATTTCCATCAATTATAGTTTAGAAATAAATGCATTTGCTGCTTTGGCTTGATGCATTTCTGAACACACCCGTAGTAAGCAAAAAGTGAGGTTGAATTTGACATTTTTTGCAACTTAAAAATCAATTTTCATAAAAACTATAAGCCTCCGGAGGGTGGGGTTTTCAGATTTACAACCACAAAAAGCCGCTCTAAACTCCCTCATTTTTGTTTTTTTTTTAAAGCCGGGTTCCGTATTGGAAAATTTTCCCTAGGAAATCAACGATAAATATTTAGAAAAAAAAATTAATAACGCTATGATCAGAGAAAAGCTCATGTTGTTTAATATGACGTCGAAACCCATCAATTGTGATCAGTCATATTTGACCAACTTTTATAGGAAGTATGATTTGTCAATACTGACCTAAGATTCCATTATCATTGATGATTCACATCTATACGAATTTTTCCATCAAATTTTGCACATTGCCCTTAATATTTTGATAGAAACTTTCATACAAAGTAATGACGAGTATTTCTATCAGGACTGTCGGTTATTTTACCGGTCAAATGATTGTCACTTCTTGCAGGGTATCGATTCCGTTTTTTTTTTTAATTCGAGAATTGTAGGCATTGTGCATTTGTTCCAAAATTTATCCAGTAAAACTTGCAAGTTCACCTGTCATTTTTTCTCTCAATTTCCCCTCTTGTGAGTTCCTTGCAAGTTTTTGCGTACGAAAACAACATCCAGTATAAACCAGCAAAATTAGTACTGAATTTGGGTACTGTTTAGTAAGTGGCCCACCTATTTCGGGGTATTGCGTCCAAAGGGGTGACCCGATCCAAAAAAAAATTGCACTCACTTGTAGCCAAGGGTCTACCCATTATTTTAACATCCACTATTGTAATTTTGGGTCACTAATTTATTTACAAATTGGGTTTGATATATGCCCTTTTTTGTAAAATTCGCAAATTAGCGTAAATTTATCACTCCTATTCTCCTTAAAGCAGCTAAATCAGCAATATATTTTTATATTCTCCTTCACTTTACACTTTACTCGATGAGCTATAACTTTCCTTATAACTTTAATATTAACCAATTAATCACAATTTATTAAATAAAAACACCTTCTAAATCATGCGTCTGACTTTTGTTGCATATGCAAATTAAATGGCGTAGTTCAGCTTTCAAACTCCAAAATATGCAAAAGAATGAGAGACAAAAGAAAATAGGATATAACCCTGTAAGCATTAAAAATATACAGAGGTGTTCTCTCTTTTCGTAAAGTGGCGACTGGCCCCTTTCGAATAAGGGGGGTTTGGGGGGCCACGCCCCCTCCCCCTCCGCCCCGCACCCCAAAAACGATGGGCCAATAACTAAACATTTCCCGAATTTGTTAAAAACGAACACTTTTTTTTAAAAAAACTTGTTTTTTCTATTTTTAATTTATTCTTTATTCAAATTCACCCGATATCTAATTTGGCATAATTTCTTTTATTAAAAAATCCCACGGTTTCTGTTAGTTGGGTCATATTCCACTTCAAACTGCTGTTTGCCTAAGAAAATTCCGTTTTCCCCCTTTTTCAAACGGTTCCCTAGAGGACTGTGGGAGGAATCCAAGGGGGGAGTACGCCTTTTTAGAATGCGGGGACTGTCCCCTTTCCAGTGGGGGGCCCCGCCTTCTCCCCCTTCGCCGCCCACCGCAAAAACGATGTGAGCGCTACTAAACATATCCCCTGCTTTCAACTAAAGTTGCCTGAAAAATCGCCTCATGTAAGTTCCCTATAAGTCAACCCGAATAGTACCCTACTTTATATTCGAAACTAAAATATAATAAAAAATATCTTACCTATCAGCTCCGGCACATGACAACATTTTATTGATTCGAATCACATGGAATGGATGAAGGCGCATTCGAATATGGAACTGATCTTTACCACAGTACTTTACCAAATACTTGTTACAACAAATCCTTCCGGCTTCCAAAGCTTCGCTACTTAGTTGTTCATATTCATCAGATACTAAATGAACGCATAGTGGAAAATCCTCCACTGATGCCTTCTTTCTGCCCAAATCAAATATACGAATCTTTGGATCCGGAACTCCTCGACAAAACCTCGACTTCGGATAAGGTTTATTTTTACAGTAACGATAACTGTAAATATAATTCTTCAAAATCAGCCATTATAGTCAAACAAACCTTACCATCTTGCTGGTCGCCGCCCCATCTTGCCTAGCCTTATGACAAAAAATAAACATTTAAAACAATGATTAAAACACTTCGCAAAAAACTTACGTCCGCCACACCAAAAAGAAGCCAAAGGAAAAGGAAATACTATTCTTGTTCTCTCAAAAGCATGAATCTTCAACGTAATGCGTTTATATAAATGAGAAATTTTAAACCTAGCGTTAGACTGTGTTTACACAGTAGTATAACATAAAGACCTCAGTATGTCCCATGAACCAAAAATACAGGATCACGTAAGAACGCGACGTTGTATTTGTAACTGTTTTTGAGAAAAAAGTTTGCGAAAGCGGGTTCGTCAGCTGAGCGTTTGTTTACATCACAAGCACCACTATTTTACACTTTTATTCAAGTAAAGAAGAGTTAATTCAACATGACAACACATTTTAAAGCATTTTGTTGCATCATTTTACCTAAATTGTGCGTTTAAAGTGACTGACAATAATTTTGGCTAATTTTGGTTTTCGTTGTTTTCTTTGCTTTGTTTACTTTTCGCTCGTTTTCCAGTGAAACAAGATGGCGTAGAACCCGCTAAAAAAATCGACTTTTTTCACTCTCTTGTTCTTACCTGATCTTGTGTCTTTCGTTCATGAGTATGTCCAGAAACAAACAGCTCTTTTTTCACCAAATTTGGTTCCATGATCCAACTACACAAGATCTGACATATATGATATCTGCCAATTAAGGGTTGGGCACGGTTACGATAAGCGGCGCCCCAAATTTTGAACAAGGACGTCGATAGAGGTTTCTGAAGCAAGTATAACGGTATATGTTTTTTTTTTTAATGGGAAACTAAAACTACAGAGGTTACCAAGGGTCAAAGATTAAATTGATAATTTTTTTTAATCCAAATATCTTGAAAACAAAAGAACGGATTTCAAAATTTGTAATATCATTCCATAGGAATTATGAATGCCTTTAATACGATGTGATCTATACAGCATATAAAGTTTTGGCAAAAATTCAATTCAACTTAAAAAAAGTAAAAAAAAAAACTTAAACAATCACATAATTATTTAAAAATTTCCTTATTATACATATTCAAACATTTCATAATCCAATAGGATATAAAACAAGCTTTCGTTTGATATACAACATCATGGTTTCAGTCCGTACTATACGGAGTATTTAAAAAAAAAAAGCATAGGCGGCCTTCGGCCGCACTAAGGGACTATAACCCTCAATAACTAGAATTCTCCTTTCTGTGTTGTGAAAGAAAAGGGGCAGAACACCTTTTGCGGCCTTCTTCCGCACTTAGGGATTATTACCCTCACTAAGAAGAATTCTCCTTTCTGTGTTGCGAAAGAAAAGGGGCTGAGCACCTTTTGCAGAGAACACCTTTTTACGTAGGCGGCCTTCGGCCGCATTAGGGATTATAACCCTCACTAAGTAGAATTCTCCTTTCTGTGTTGCGAAAGTAAAGCGGCTAAACCTTTCTGCGTAGGCGGCCTTCTTCCGCACTTAGGGATTATAACCCTCACTAACTAGAATTCTCCTATCTGCGTTGCCGGAGAAGAGGGCACCTTATGTGAATAAAGTACAGTAAATGTAAGATTGGCGCATGCTTGTAAATGCAGTTACATTTTTGTATTATAACTGAATTTGATATGGGTTACTGTCCGCCGCACAAAATATAAATACTTCATTCTTCGGCGTATAGCGCACCCGGTAGCGTGCCATAAATTTCACCATATAATAATTTATATAGAGCGTATGGCAACACCAAATCTCCATGGAAGGTCGGCCATTTTGCGATGTCCTTGGGGACATTGTCGCTGATTGTCACTAGTTCCTGCAGGTCTGCTTGCCTACTTCTTTCGGTTAATTAAAGCTTTCCCGCGGAGGCTGGGGATAGTTTGTGGCAGCTGTCTGTAACTGCCCGTCTTCACAGGATTGAGTTTATATCTTGACACAAATGTTAGAATATAGAGAGCAATATATATCCGGGCACCTATTGCGGTGACTTGGTAGTTTGACAACTACGTTTTCCTTTGTACTAAAGCGTTCTGGCGGCAACATTATCGATATTCTGATATCTGACGATTGGCAATCGGTAACATTTTCGGCATGGTGTACGAATAAATTGAGTTTTGCTGTGGCAGCCGCAAGGAAAAATTTTGACAGTTGGGAAAAAACCACACAAACGCTCGTGCAGAAGCTCTATTGTGTGTGTTGCTGAAATTGTTAAATTTACATCTATTTTATAACTTGCAAGTAACGTACGTTCTTTTGTTTTATCAGATTCCATTTTGATTTTCATTCTTTATTACCGCCCACAATATTCTGCCTTATCCTGAGTTTCGCCCGAAAATTGTTCATTCGCCCTTAGTAAATACATGGAAACCAAAAGTGAAAAGTGAACCTGTTCGGAAAAAAATGAAACTCATCATAAGGCTGATTACACTTAGAAGCTGCCAAATTTTACCTAGCACATGAGCTAGATAAAATTCTGACGATCGCATTCACGACGAAACTATCAAATTTGTAAACTAGCAATTTTCAAAGATTTTTTTTGCGGTCATGCCCAGTAAAAACACTTGAAAAGGAGTCACGGCAACTCCGGATTTTTTTTGATATTCCTCCTTGCACTGCTGCAAATTCTATTTGGAAGAGTAACGGAACTAGTCCAAAGGACGCAGTGTCCGTTATTCTTCCAAATGGAATATTCCCGCAATGCAAGGGTATAAAACACCAGCTGGCAACACCGAAGCGACCATTTGCGATATCGTTTTTGACAAGTGAAGTGGAACGGGTAAAAAAAAACACAAGTGAAGCAAATAAAAAGACGGAGAAACATCGTGAGCGCGTAACTAAAGAAAAAATAAAAATAAAATTAAACCCTTTTAATAAAGGAAAAAGAGAAATTACAACAATTTTGATCGAAATTCCGGCGCGAGTGAGTACAGTATCTTGCAGTTAAAGCAACGGCAGCATAGTTGCTCCGGAAATCCAGGCCGGAATCCGTGGTGCAGCGTAAATCAACCAACATTTTTCATCACATTGTTTCAGGTAAGTGAGTGTGCAATAGTGCGTTGAGCTATAGGGAATTTACATGATTCAAGTTTCACAGGCGATTAGTTGAATCAAAAGTTGAACGAAAGTAGGCAGCGACCAACTTCATGGAAAGCAATTAGTTAAAGGGCGTTACGCCAGGTGATTGTCGCTTCCAACTAAAAATCGGCCGAAAATTAGTCTCAAGTAAATTCCCTATCAAGGCATAAACGTGCGACCGGTGGTCCACCTGACGGGGGGTTGCTCTGGTTTGCAATGTTCGGAGTATGGATGTTTGCGTAAAAATCCAGAACCTTCTCGAATTTTTTTTTTTGCAAATAATGCAACTCGGCGCCACGACGAGGCTTACATCTCCCTTGTGTACGCTTGTTTTTTTTTGTAGTTCTTTTGCTTGCTATTTTCGTTTTTATTATTACATATTAACCAGTATCTTTCACACACAGCGACCGCGCAAAGAGCGGCACTAGTAACCGCGGAAGCGGAAAACAGCAACCGGGGTGAGCATCCAGGTAAACACCACACCCGCCTAAGAGGCGGCACCAAGCAACCGCCTAAGGGAGCGGCAAACCAGCGAGCCCAAAGACCGGCACACCAGCAACCGCCAAAGCGGCACCAAGCAACCGCCTAATGGAGCGGCAACCCAGCGCGACAGAGCGCCGGCGACTCAGCGGCCGCACAATGAGCGGGAAGCCAGTGACCACCTAAGGAGTGGCAACTCATCAACGGGGTGAGCACCCGGGGTCGGCTACACAGTGACCGCCCAAGGAGCGGCAGCAACAACAACAAAATCAACAACCGGGGTGAGCACCCGGGTATAAACAGCAACCGGGGTAAGCTTCCGGGTAACCAGCGCGCCCAACGAGCGCCAGGACCACTAGCGACCGCCTAAGGGAGTGGCAACTCAGCGCACCAGAGCGCCAGCGACGGCGCACATAGCGCCAACTCGGCGACCATGGAAGCGGCAATCAACAACCGGGGTGAGCACCCGGGTAACAAGCGCGGCCAAAGAGCGGCATACCAGCGACCCGGCAAAGAGCGGCACTAGTAACCGCGGAAGCGGAAAACCGCAACCGGGGTGAGCCCCGGGTCAGCACCACAGTAACCGCCCAAGGAGCGGCACCAACAACAACAAAATCAACAACCGGGGTGAGCACCCGGGTAACCAGCGCGCCCAGAGAGCGCCAGGACACCAGCGACCGCCTAAGGGAGTGTCAACCCAGCGTGCCAGAGCACCAACAACTGCACAAACAGCGGCACACCAGCGACCGCCAGAAGAGCAGTAACCAGCGAACGCCCAGGAGCGGCATAAGCAACCGGGGTAAGCACCCGGGTCAGCACAGGCGACCGCCCAAGGAGCGGCACCAACAACAGCAGCATCAACAACCGGGGTGGGCACCCGGGCAACTCAGCGAACCACCTAAGGTCCAACAACCGCAAAAACAGCGGCACACCAGCGACCGTCTGAAGAGCGGCACCAGCGCTACCACCCAAGAGCAGTAACCAGCGACCGCCCAGGAGCGGCATAAGCAACCGGGGTAAGCACCCGGGTCAGCACAGGCGACCGCCCAAGGAGCGGCACCCACAACAACAACATCAACAACCGAGGTGGGCACCCGGGCAACTCAGCGAACCACCTAAGCGGCACCTCAGCAACCGCCTAAGGAGCGGCACCAGCCACAGCAAAAGCGGCAACCAGCAACCGGGGTAAGCACCCGGATCATCACAGCGACCGCCCAAGGGGCGGCAACAACAACCACAACATCAACAACCGGGGTAAGCACCCAACGGCGATAACAACAACAACCTCAGCAACGACTACAACAACAACAGCAGTGCCACCCACAAGCCTGCGGCAACGGTGGGTGAGTTCCTATGAAAATACAAACCCACACATTAGGTAGGGAGAAAAAAAATAAAGAATAAAATATTTAAGACTAAAAATAAAAATAACAAAAAAAATAAAATAGGGATAATTTAACAAAACTAAAGAGGTTGAACTCCATAGAAGTAAAATAAATTAAAGTAGAAAATATGTATGTATATATATAAGAAGCAAAAATATTAAGGGAAGTAAGGGTAAAACAAAATTGTACCAAATTAAATGAAGATAGAGGAATCCAAGTTT